GATACAGAGCAGCACACCATGCAACGTGCTCAAGACAAGGATCTCTCATGCACACATTTGTACGAGCACACACAGTTTATTTGCCACTTCTTTAATTACACAGCTTCATTCCAGCTCACATTTCTCCTCCCCTTCTGTCTGGGCATAATTTGCTTCAACCCCCCCATGTGGGAATTATTGCAAAGTTATTGCTTTGACAGAACCATCTGTCTTCAGAAAATTAGTTAGCTTGATTAATTTCCTTTTTATGAGGATGCTGATTTACAACCGTGTGTATGGATGGAGTTCACCCCGCTTCATGTGCCCAGAGGGGGCTTTTGTTCCACCATAACAATAGAGATCATTAGGTTTCATTGCAAAGGGAAACAGGTGGCTGTTTCTAAGCTTCAAATTACACCGATAATCAAAACAAGAAGGAGCGTTCATTTATGCTATTTTCATAATTAAAAAGAATCCAGCAAAAGAATCCACATTAAATGAAGTGGGTTGAGAGTTTTTGTTATCTTCTACTGAGATGCATGCGTACGCCCAGCACTAATCAGGACTAGGACTGACACCAATAATATAATATTGTGAGGTTTTGGGTGGTACAGTTTGTTTTTGAGGGGCACGATGGCAATAAAATCAGAGTCAGACATGTTTACGTGCTGTTTTCTTGGAGACAATTAAACCAATGTTTTCACACTGTCCAGGGTTTTAACAGTTTTATGACATATTTTTATACTTAAAATCAAGTTTTTGCATTGTGAAAAGGCCCATATGAGTATTTTTATATGTCATGTCAATGTCATGAGTCAGTGGGTTTCCACCTTGAAACATACAAAGCATATAGATGACAGTCTTAAAAACACAGATTCTAGAACCAGGTATTTGTACGTGAAAGCTCAAGAAATCTGTTCCAACAACTTGCAGGGTGGGGCTTTCTGTATCATTTTCTTGAGATGTGGTTTCCAACTAAAACATGTACGGCTGAAGTACTGCAGCATTACAACTTGTTACTGTGTAATGTAGAGTAGTTTTAGTGTTTGAGCAGAGCTGTAGGTGAACTGATGTGCCTGAGCTGTGAGGTTAGTGGAGAGAGAAGCAGGGCCTTTTTAGAGGAAGCATTAGTTTTGAGTTACATCTAAGTCATTTTAAGAAGTAATTGTGATACAAAGAGATCAGGGGTTTTTGCATTTATTCAAAGGCCAGAATGGGATTTGCATTTTAAGCCACACTAGAGATGGAACTAGGTTGTTTGGTGGATCCACTGTTTTGGTTTTAGATGTCATATCTCAGCAACTACTGGATGGACATTCATGGTTCCCAAAGGATGAATCTAAGTGACCCTGATTACTTCTCTAGTGCCAGCATAAGGTTCACATTTGTGTTTTTGAGTGAAATGTCTCAACAACTATTGGACTGATTGCCATGATACTTGGTACAGAGATCCATTTCCACAGTGGGATAAACTCTAATAAAGGTGGTGACACCAACCTTCTAGTGCCATCATCAAGTCAAAATGTACATTTCTTAGACGTGAGTGCAGAATAGCCAGTATACTGAGACCACTGCCATTTTGGCCAACATATATATGATATGACTGAGGATGCAGATGCCTCATCAGTTTGTCCTTCAGCTGTTTTAATCTGTAGATATAAACATTCACAACACTCTGGTAATTATTAATGTAGACTTTAATTATAATTAATAAAAACAATGATAGAAATAGCCTTGGAAGTCTTGATAGAATAGCCAGCAAGCTCTTTGGGAGGAGTCAGGGTAAGTGTTTGGTCATTTACGGCCAACCACTTCAGGATGTCCTTCAGGACACCTGTTTGAAGGACTGGATGACTCCATGTCTTTCATCCCAAGTGCTGCTGACATGCTTAATGGAAATTGGCACTGTGGCTACATTCCAGCGTATATACACACCGATACATACATCTGTCCTTGGTATGAATTTCCATTTTCGTGCATTAGATTTGTGATTTCATGTTTATGTTATCTTTTTGTATTTTGTGGTTACAGGACCTCTTCTCCTATTGGGACAATAAAGACAACCTTGAACCTTGAGTTGTTTTGACAGGACTGCTGTCGGTTGTCTGCTCAAAAGGCAGCAGCTGCGGGGTCGACATTGAACAGAGACAAAACACACACCTCCTGTTCCGAAAACCACCCATAGGCAAAGCTCTGACTTACACACATACACACACACACACATACACACACACACACATACACACAGGATTCACATGCTGCATGTACAAACGCGTACATATCTATCCATCAGTTACACGAGTTCAGCTGAGGCTTTATCTCAACACTATCTGCATCTGATTTGTCTGTGAGCTTGTTTGAATGCTTGTCTGACACTGTTTGGGCTCCCAGCAGTTTCATTAATTCCTTAGAGACCGTTGGCTCTTGTGCCATATAACACAGCACAGAGCTTTTTTTTTCCATCACTGTGTTTGTTGGCTCTCAGAGGACCACTGTCAGGCCCCCAAAACCTCTGAGGTCATCGCTTACTGACCCAGTGACCCCCCCAGACCATACAAACACACCACATTCCCATGGTATCTCCACCCTCACATGTTTTTTGACCCTTGTAAAAGCGTTCTCCACATAACACTCAGTTTCCATCTCGGCATCTCCTCTGGTCATGTGAACGGCCATCACAGCGTGCAGCTACTTAGAAACGTTGTGTTGTATGCAAAAGTGTGTTTAAAGCACCTGTTTTGCATCTCGTAAGGGATTCCACCTGACGTTCTGGTCGCCCTCGCACGCCCCACCTGCTCCGTGGCGTTCATGACCTTTGCTTGTTAGTCCATCTGTAGCTGCAATCCTGCTAAAGACATGACATTTTCAGCAGACAAAAACAAATTCTTTAAAAGGGTAGCAGTCTGGAGAGTAAAATTCTGTCTCTGCCAGGCTCACATTTTCTTCCTTTCCTTCCTTGCACGTCTGTCTTCTCTCTTTCGTCACTCTAAGTATCATAATCAAACTGTTATATTTAGCTCGCAGATTAGGATGCTGTCTGCAGTTTCAAATAGTCTGAATATGCCTGAAGCCTGTTTAAACTGCCTCTTTTTTTTCTTTTCATTAGGGAGTCTGGCTTCGTTTACCTTAACTTAATCTGCTCGCTGCTCTATCTCTGTCTTGGAAAAACAGTGTGATGTGAGAGGGGGGTCTTGCATGTGCCATTTATTACAGGCCAGGAGGGCTATTTTTGCGTGCAGGCAGATGTTTCTGTGTCAGTTTTCAGTGAAATGTTTTAAGTTCTTTTAAGTGTTTTCTTCATTTTGTCATTCTAATCCTCTAAACCTCAAAACCCACTGGCAGATTGGAAAGGCATGAAGTAATTTAGCCCCAAAAAATTCCCAAATGACTCCATTTATCAAAGCCAGAAAACAAAAAGAATCGTGGGATTTTCAACTTTCCAATTGTGCTTATCATGTGTGACGTGCTGTTCTGTCAGGAAAATTATCAAATCCAAAGATTAAAATTGCGATATTTCACCAAAATGTGTCTCGTTTAGAGATTCACCAAAAATAAATCATTTGTATGAACCATCCATCCATTATCTATACACCGCTTAATCCTCATTACGGTCGCGGGGGGCTGGAGTCTATCCCAGTTGACTTAGGGCGAAGGCAGGGGACATCCTGGACAGGTCACCAGTCTATCACAGGGCTACACTTAGAGACAGACAACCAAGCACACTCACATTCACACCTACAGACAATTTAGAATCACCAATTAACCTCAACATGTTTTTGGACTGTGTGGGAAGAAGTCGGAGAACTTGGAGAGAACCCACGCTGTACAGGGAGAACATGCAAACTCCACGCAGAAAGATGCAAACTGGTGACCTTCTAGCTGCGAGGCAACAGTGCTAACCAACTGCGCCACCCTGCAGCCCTCGTATGAACCAGATTCTGTAAAAAAACAAACATTCTGGGCTCCTCAGTACAGCTGTAAAGCCACTGAATTCACGGCTGTAGACAACAGTCAGGTGATTTCTGAGAGGTTTTTTTGGCTGAACTGCAGGCTGTGTTTGCCATTTGTGTTAATCGCCACTTTTGCCAGTATTGGTAACACTTTTGGACAAATGGAAACATGTTGAGCATGTTGAGTCCAGGTTTGTTCAATTATAGTAAAACAAATCCAAGAAATTTAACTTTTTAAAAATGATTTATGGCATCATAACTGTGTCATACAAAATACCTTTTTGAGGTTTTTTGGGTTTTTTTTTTTTTTAATTTTTTACTTCTGGTCATGGTCATGATGTTTCCAGTAAAATGTGACAATAGCAAAAAAAAACACCCAGTAACTGCTTGGGGTTGAGACGGTGGATGCTGAGGAAGAAAAAAATAAATAAAAAGGAGTTCAGTTCATACTAAACATGTTCTTTAAATGTTACAACATGCATTTTATAGGTAGTTTGTTGATCCTCTTCACGGCTTTTTAAGACAACGGTCAGTTTGATCTTGCAGTTCTTTTTCTGACGTGTAGTTCACAGTTCCTCCGCTGGATGGGTGTAGAGAGCCAAGAGTGCTGAAGGAGAAAACTTTATTATAGAAAGTAAAGTGTATGTCTCCCCCTGGTGAGTTAAACACAAAGTCCAACGAGAAGTTTTAAAAAACAATATGGGGGGAAAATGTGGGAATGTTTTGAATGACACAATTTGCCTCTTCACACATTGCATTGTTGTGATTCTGTGGTGGTGTTTTTGGATTCATTTCCTAACACCTAATAACACTTGTCTTACTGTTTTCATAACTCTTCTCTTCTAATTCTTCTATTTTCAACAGGTAAGTAAACATTTTCTCTACTATCACCCATTCTGTTAGCCCAGATATCAAAAGTGTTAACTTCAGCACTTAGGACTGAAAAGTCAAATGATAATTAAGTCTGATCAATTGGGCTCCAAATCCACAGCATCATGTAGTTTATTTTGTGGTGTTGCATCCATGAATTAAAGTTGATCAACTATTCTTTTTCTTCCTCTCTAATCTCAGGGCCAACCCGGGCCTCTTGGTCCGCAGGGCCCACAGGGGCCTTCAGGGAGACCGGGGGATTTAGGCATCCAAGGACCGAAGGGACAGAAAGGTGATCGTGGTCATGGTGGCATCATAGGGCCTAAAGGAAATGTGGTAAAGTATTCCCTCTCTTTTTTTTAAGAAATAGTTTTAAAGAATATTACAGTGCCAACTCTTTTGGTTAATGTGTGATTCTCGTTGCTCCACAGGGAATGACCGGTGTACCCGGCTTCTCTGGAAATGACGGTATTCCTGTAAGTTCACCCATCAGTGTGGTTAGATTCATTAGGAGGTGACTGTGTGCTGACAGAATATCAATTCTGCTCGTGTCATTCTCTCTGCAGGGCCACCCAGGACAAGCCGGGCCCAGAGGGAAGCCTGGTGCTGACGGCTGCAACGGGACTAATGGAGAATCAGGCTCACCAGGAGCCCCCGGCTTTGACGGCAGTCCTGGTTTTCCTGTGTGTGACTCGGAACCTGCTCAGTTGTGACTTTAAAATACAAAGAGACTGATTTCCTTTAGGTGACTGTTACTCTCTGTGTTTTTGTTTTCGCCTCTCAGGGACAACCAGGCCGGAAGGGCCAGAAGGGAGAGACTCTGGAGCTCAGTGTGTACATGATGCCTTTCAGGGTGAGGAAGAGGAGTTCATGTCAAGCATGCTTGTTTGTTACAAAATAGCTCCTTACATTTATATCCGGGAAGGCATGCACTGTAGACCTTAGTAACTTCATGAATCTTTAAACATCTCTTCTCAGGGAGATCTAGGCGCACCAGGACTCGACGGAATATTTGTAAGACAACTTTTAAAATAAAAATTAAAAAATTAAAAAACAGTTAAAAAGCCGAAACCTTGGCAACTACAATAATTTTCCAACTGTTGTTTTTTTTCAGGGGCCTCAAGGAAACCCAGGATGGCCAGGTACTGCAGGCATACCAGGACCGAAGGTAAGTGATTCATTTCGGGATCACATTAAAGTTCCTGAGACCTAATTTATTGTTATGCACAGTGCTTGTGAGCAACATTTTTGTTTCTTCTGCCAGGGTCCACCAGGGCCTCCAGGTCCCCCAGGACCAAAGGTAAGGCAGCAATAGTCCATGTCTCATCTAATCTGATATAAACTTGATGTGTTCCTGTGTAAATACTGCTGCACTGCTGAATCTATGAATGCTTTTTGTTTCTGTGCAGGGCACCATGACCAAAGTGTTCAAAGGAGTCAAAGGAGACCAAGTGAGTGACCACATTTGTCAAACACTAAATGCATCAATCATGTCTACTTGCATGACTGTAAAGCAAACAATTTTTTGTTGTTGCACAATAAAATCCTAAATTCATTTAACTCACAAAACATCAGATTCAGCTCAGTTTGAGGTCTGCCTCTGTCTTGCAGTGCTGTAAAGTAACTAAAGTGCATTTACTCAAGTATTGTACTTAAGTAAAGGTTTGAGATATTTGCATTGAGTATTTCCCTTTAATACAAAGTCAATACCACTAGATTTCTGAGGAAAGTATTTTACGTTATGTTCCTACTACATTTATTTGACAGCTTTAGCAACTAACTACAAACCTTTCCAGTTTAAATGCGTTCAGTGTCACATTGTGGCTCTTTGTCCCAGACGAGCTGCCAGCAGTTTCATGAAAGATTTTTCAAAATAAAAAAAGAAATAAATCAAAGAATAGAGATGAAAAATACAGTATATTTGTGTGGTAGATCTATCTTTGAATTCAAACCGAGTAAACTACCTGACCATCAATCATACAGTAAAGTGCTTCCTTTGTCTCCATGAATCAGTATTTACCATCTAGTAGTTTCATAGTTTTAGTATGTCACAGAGAGCAGCATTTTTAAAGCATAGCTACTTACTTAGATACTTTTTTATTTAGCTTTAGTAAAGTATGTGAGTACTTGATGGTGATTTGTTTGTCTGAGATGGCTGATGTTGTAATTCCTGCTTCCACCACAGGGAGACACCGGACCTCAGGGGCCACCAGGAAACTCTACTCATCCGCACTCTCTGCCTCCCTCTGGACATCAGCAACAAGTGCTCATTTTTGTTCATTTACCTGCTCTGATGATATTTAAAGAAACATTAATGGAAGTATTACAACCACAGACACATGTATCATGAAGTGTTGTACTTTTTTTTATTTCCAGGGGCCTCCTGGAGAAAAAGGTCTGAAAGGAGAAAGAGGAGATCAGGTATGTAATCACACAGACATATATGCATCTGCAAATTATGCTTTTTTTTTGTCTCACATATCCCCACAAGTGCAGGCAGATATATGCAGATCTCAGCTTGTTACTTCTTCTGCTGATGTTTTCTTTTGGTTTATTTCAGGCAGACAACAGAGGAGAAACTGGTGTGATGGGATTCCCTGGACCACGGGTGCGTTTCAGAACCTTTCTGTATTTTTCAGCCAAACACTGTCCTCTATTAATGTGCTAAATTCATTTCATGTGCTGGTTTGGATTCTATTCTAGGGAACATCTGGTGCAGACGGGAGTCCTGGACCAAAAGTGAGTTTGTGTGAAAGGAGGAGACATTGTGTCGTCGTTGTGTCCTTGAATTAAAATTAAAAGTCACTTTATAACTTTGATCAACTTTGTTTCAGGGGGATCCTGGTGAAACAGGACCAAAAGGCAGAGATGGTCTTAAGGTGAGAATACAGCTGACTGGACGACCTGATTTAGCTTCTAAACTTTATTCTAAAGGGCCGATAAAAAGTGTGCTCTCAAATTTACTACTTTGTAATCGTTATTAAACAACTTAAAGTACACTTATTCAAGTACTGTTGTGATGTAGAAATTGGAGGTTCATGTTCTCTCCATTTTCTGCTGTTTTGTTAAAAAAAAAAATGTTTGGGGAGAACATGTTAATTGGAGAAATTTGCAAGAAATAAAATAATACACAATTCATTTAAAATATTGGTATTTGAAGTACAGATCAAATAACTTAGATGAAAGATCAGTTTCATTCAAGTTTTTGAATATAAAGTTGAAAATCAAGAGCTGGAGCGGTTAAGAGTGAAACAGCAGGATGGCTGATCCCGCCAGAGAAGCATTCATATTCACTGTAATCTGAATCTGAAATGGAACCACCATCGGGCCAGTTGTGGTAGATTGATGCTGTGCAGCCAAACATTTTTCAGACTACAGAGCTTGTTTTTAAATTCTAGTGGAGAACCAAAAGTTCCCAAAGATGGAAAATACGTCGGACTGAATTTATTGGAAATGTGGATGAAATGATGCACAAGACAAGCAGACTTGCATACACAGCATAAACATTACATAGCTTGAGACTGTTTCAAATACAATTGTCCTTAAAGCTCGTATGAGGAAATGAAACGAGGAAACTGTATATTTTTGGACTTTTCCTAGAATTTGATGTCTCGTCAAAAAAAAAGAAAAAGAAAACCATTCTGCTCTAGTAAAGTAAATTTGAAACAGGTTTAGTGTCCCAACATGAAATCAGAATGGAGTGATCAAACTGGTTTTACATCGTCACTTATTCTGAGTAAATCAGGTCAAGTCAATTTTACTGCATTCCAACTCTAGAACAAAATGTACTCCCCTCAAAACCAATAAAAGGCTAATACACTGAATACAAAGCAATAGACATGTATCAGAAAAGAATCAGACAGCAATGCATGTTTAAAAATTAATGAGCAAAGCAGCTTCATGTTATAATGAATAAATAATGCATAAAGGTAAAAAAAAAGGAAAGCCACTCGACAAGAAGGAGGCAGCTTAGTGCTCCATCATCAGCACCGGTTTGTTCATATTATCATCTGTAAGAAAAGAGGAAACAAGATCAAGAACATTCAGATTACATCAAGTGGAAAGTTGCAACACGTCTGATGTATGTGCTGATACAACTGAAGTCACGAAACACTGAATGACTGACGTGACGCTTGTATTTCAGGGAGTCAGGGGTGAGGCAGGAGAGCTGATTTCATCCGGATCCCTCTGGCCCTGGTCTTCAGCTGGTAAGTTTATTAATAGCAGAAGTACAGTCAAATAAAGAGTCAAAAGAAAACAGAAAGAGTTTTGACTTTCAAATGAAGCTGACGATATGGTTTGCAAAGTTCACACTGACATGAAGTGAAACCCTGTTTATAAATGATGGACATTATTAGATTGCACATGCTGCAGAAAGTCATCATGAAACAAAATGTTTAGGAAAAATGTGCATTTTATGTGGGACAGGCCCTCGGTTAATACTTGAGGATGAAGGGAATCAAATGTATTTGTCTTCTTGGAGCATTAAACACACACAACAATCAGTCTTCTTTTCACAGTTTATGTAAATTAATGTACAACAGTTAGAATCTCTTGTTGAATTGATAAAAACAGTTACAAGTCTGTGTCGAAGATGTTTGAGCGAGAAACATCTGGAGCTGCTTGATGCTACCTGTTGTACACATGCTAGTAAATGTTTCCTCTGTTTGCTTTGACTTTATAAGCGGGTCCCCCTGGTCCCCCTGGTGAGCAGGGTCCAGTGGGAGAGAGGGGTCCAGTAGGAGACCAAGGCTTCCCCGGACCACCAGGACGTCCTGCCTCTGAATCACAGCAACAAGGTTTGTACAGTGAAGCAATAAAAAAAATAAAATAATTAATGCACAGAATTTAATAGATTTCGTCACTGGGCTGCTGCACTCACAGACGGGTTGTTGTTTCATCATGAGAACTTTCATCAACGTATAATTTGATATCTGTTTCATTAATATGTCACAAAATCGCACATTTGTCTAATATGGATTGACAGTCTACACAACATGTTGCACCCTCCACATAGTCTCTCCTCCAGGTCAGACAGAATTGTAGTGTATATGTATGTAGTAACACATCAGAAAATCTAAAAAGAAACATAACGACATTAACCGGCGTGTTTAATATATGATATAAGGTAACTGGTCAATATAAGTGGACGCCAACCACAAACAAATCCTTTGGGTCAAAAAGAAGATCTGAGTGGAGGACAAACAAAACATACAATAAAGTGTTCAGTTCACACAAACAGAGAAGGGATCAATAACAACAATTTCCCTGAGGTTTGCACCAAAGGGGTCAATAAAGTTCTATTCTATTCTATTCTAAGAGACAAGACAGATTAGATGATGAAGCCATAACGCTTTACTTGACCTATTTTTCTATAGCATCATAAATGATGAGCGTTTGCTAAAGCTGGTAACTCGTACATGTCTGTGCATGCAGTTATGTGTGTTTGAAGAATGTGATCGGTCATGTGTGAAGTGGATCTCATTATACTGTAAAATCACGCTTGAATCAACTCAAATTTGCAGCACAAACCTTTTTAGATTTGGGCTACAGCTCACATAACCCAGCTTCACTGACCTCTCCTTCAATATTTATTTCATTTCGTATTATTGTTGGGTTTTGCAGGGACATACAGTATTGTTCCCGGGCAGGTTGACAAAAACTAGGAAGAATAAGTACCCTACTCACCACAACACAATTTAGTTAGTATAATAAATACAAGCAGCTATTGGTGCTGACTTGAGGCTACATGCAAAGCTTCCCGAGTCTCTAATACGTGTGAGTATGGAATTCAACTTCCAAACTGCTTTAACCGAAAAAGAAGATTGACCAAATGCTGCCTTTCTGAACTGCAGTTGGCACCAACCTCTATCAGATGCTCTCGAGCCTGTACAAGCCAAACGTCCTATAAGAGCAGAGACTGCAAGTACATGAATAATTTTAAACCTTAGGTGGTGGCATGCATCAAAGTAAAACAAAAAACTGTCAAAATTGAGGAAATTGAATATTTTTTTTAAGATATTGAAGTGATATTGATCTCTTAGCTTTTTATCGAATACTTTAAGGGCTGGTTCATACAGTGAGTACACAGGCTTGAGTGTAGTCAGACCTGCCTGTGAGCAGACGGAAAGTTAGAGAGCAGAGTGTGTGCTCAGATTGAATTTTGTATTACTGACAACCCTGCTGACTTGTTTTTTGATAGACAGGTTTGTGTCAGTTATAATGACTTGATATTTAGCATTTGTCACAGGTCTGATACGTTCATCAGAAATTGAAATGTCAGGATGAGGAGTCCTCACTGTGAAATGCATGTAAACTGACTGGCTTCCTTACGTTTAGTTTGAAGTGTGAGCTCGCCAGTCAATAATGTGGTATTTCAACTTTTTCCCAGATTTTTACACACAAAACACCAGCTAGTCTTATCTCAGTCTGACCTTTCCCTTTGTAACTTCACAAAGTCTTTATAAATTGCGATAATTTTAGATTATTTTACACTTTAAAACACTATACATGTAACAAGGTCAAGGTGCAAACAAAAAAAAAAGCTCTGATGCACTTCTTGTGACTTCTTGATATCATAGCAGTGACAATCTTTTAAAATTTGTGGACGCCTCAGCAGCTCAACCGGATAAGATGGTGACAGGGGCTATAGTCCCCGACGCAGCGGTCGTCAGATCAACTCCCGACCACGGCCATTTGCTGCAGGTCTTTCCCCACTCTGCTCCCCCCCCTTTCCTGTCTCTCTCCACTGCTCTGATAAACAGAGGCAAAAGCCAAAAAAGAAAATAAATAAATTAAAATAATTCCCCTGTGTGTCTGTCAGTGTGGGATTTTTTCGGACCATTTGGATTTAAGGGAGACCGAGGAGAGAAGGGCCAACAAGGAGAACAAGGACGCCCTGCTGTCACTGTAGGACCCCCAGGAATGGACGGGCGCCCGGGAGAAAGAGGCCCTCCTGGACCCAAAGGAACATGTGAGTGAATGACTGAGTGAAAAGAATAGTTTCCGTGTCATCTCCTTTTGTCTCTAAGATGCCTGCTTAATGTGCTTCTATTTGTCTCTAGGGGAAGAGTACTTCAAAGGAGCTCCGGGAGGGAGAGGGAGGCCTGGAAATGCAGGATTCAAAGGAATAAAAGGTGCTTTCGGCCTGCTGTTCATGTTGCCAATAGTTATTGATATCATATGAATCCATGGTTATTAACACAGAAACCTGTAGGCTACATTTACATTTTCCCTGCTGCTTGTAATCGGTCCACTTTTGTAAAATGTTTACTAATGTTCATCTTGCTGACCTGTGGCTGTGATGTTTTGTGTGTTTAGGAGATCACGGTGAATGTCTATGCACCGTTATGAATTCCCCACGTGGTTTACCCGGCCCTGCTGGAGAGCCCGGTGATGCTGGGATGACTGGAGAGTTTGGTCAGGAGGGTGATTTAGGAGAGCCGGGTCGTCCCGGACAAGATGGGTTCCCTGTAAGGAAATCACAACATCAACAAATCATCAATCATCCTCATCAAATCTGCCTCACATTGGTCTGTGTTGTGTTATAGGGACCTGCTGGGCTCAGTGGTGTGCCAGGCCCGAAGGGCCAAAAAGGGGACACGAATGTTGCCAAGCAGAAAGGTGCAGTGTGATATTATTTCATCTCGTTTCTGAGCAGCACGAGGTTCAAGTGGAAAAAACGTAGCCTCTGCCGTGTGTGTGTGTGTGTGTGTGTTTGATGCTATGTGGTTATGTATTTGCTGATCCATCATTGTGTGCATGTCATGTTTGTGATCCCCGCAGGATCTCAGGGTGATTCAGGTGATCCCGGAAGAGATGGTGGTGTAGGAGCACCGGGTGCTCCAGGCCAAAATGGTCTACCTGGTCGCCCTGGCAACCGGGGTCCTTCAGTGAGTCCATTAGCTCTCAGCATAAAGACAGTTTCATGTTTTGTCATTACTTACTTCTGTTCATTTCATCTACTTTGTGCGTTACGATTTCTCCTTGTCTTCCTTTCCTCACCTCTCAAGAATAGTAACCAGTGAATGCTGCAGTATAATGATTGTGATGGTTCATATAAACAGGGAGAAGGGCCCTGGGGACAACATGGAGACAGAGGTCGACCCGGTTACCCTGGTCGACCCGGTGCAGCAGGGCTGAGGGGTGAACAAGGTTCAGATCTTGGGGGCTTCAAAGGTCAGCGGGGTTTACCTGGTGACAGTGGCATCGACGGCTTTCATGGAGTTCCAGGAACACCCGGCAGTCCAGGTGAGAGGCAGCTGACTGCCTCCGTCACTGCTTTTATTCATTCTCATTTTTAGAATTTCTCCTTCAAAGCTTTATCTCCTTCCAGGAATTTTGTCTGTTTTCACTCTTCTGAGTATTTCCTTTTACCTCGCCTCTCTAAAATACTCTCTTTTGTGATTTAATGCAAAGCAATAAGAACAGGAATGAAGATTAATGGCTTGTGTTTAAAAAAGGAAAAAGCATGATGAGTAGATTTTGCCGTTTTATTTACTTTTCTTTCTTCGCCTCCTGCTGTCTCATCGATGCAGGGGCTGCATCCCTCAAACCAGCTGCAGCTGAGCTTGTTTGAGATCATGCTTGTGCTTTTGAGTAACTCTTGTTCCGAATGCCTCTCTCTTTCATTCTCTCTCATTTGCAACTGAAAGGCGGCTGTAGTCCGAGAGGAGATGAAGGACAGGTGGATGTAACAGGTAGCTGGTATAATAACATGTCACCTTATTGCTCCCTTTATAACACCTCCGTTTGGCTTTGCTTCTGCATTATTTGACTGAAGTGCATGAGAGTTTTTGAACTGTTTTTAGATTTAGTGTATTGAGACACCAGCTAATGTAATGATAATGCCATGTTTCTGAAAACCCTGTTCACGCTGGGCAGCAGTTAAAAGTCACTTGCACCAAAGTAGTTTAGAAACAGTCCCTTCAACCATGATGTTGCCCTAAAGTTTGTGTTTCCGTCATTTACTTCTCAGGACCTTGTGAGCCTATTCCAGGACCTCCTGGGCTGCCTGGACCTCCAGGTCCTTCTGGTCTACCAGGATTCCAAGGTAACATAACAAGAATATAGTGCTAAATGCATTCTACGGGGTAACATTTTTGAGGTGTTTTGAGGCCCTATTATATTTTTTGTTCCACCAGGTCCTTCTGGCCAAAAAGGATCACCAGGTTTTTTTGGAATAAATGGTGACAAAGGAGAACAAGGAGATCGAGGAATAGGTGGCTCTCCTGGACCACCAGGTGAGGAGTGACTGAAAACACTGACTGTGCAATAGTCAGATAACTGATCGTGTCTGATCTTAGATATGAATATTGTCTTTGACCTACTTTTTCTTTTATTGGTTGTTTCATACAGGTTTTTCAGGTTCCCGCGGAGACCTGGGGGTTCCTGGCACCAAAGGTTCAGTCGGACTCCCTGGTTTGCCTGGTGTGCCTGGTCGCTACGGGCAACAGGGTGACAAGGGTGCTCACGGAGAAATCTTGGGCGCATCACCTGGACCGCCTGGTGATCCAGGGCTGGCTGGGCTTCAGGGATATAAAGGCCATACTGGAGATCAGGGCAATCAAGGCTATCCAGGTTAGATAGGTCATCACCTCATCACTTAATGAAACAAATTTGAGAAGTATGATCTGTTGTTCATAATCATCTACTTGCCCAGGAATGTCTGGCATGCCTGGTATGATTGGCTCTAAGGGTGAGGGTGGCCCTTCAGGCCTGCAGGGGGAGGAAGGAAGGCCTGGGCCAGCAGGCAAATATGGCTTCCCTGGTGATCCTGGGAGAACAGGTGTACCTGGGCCTCGTGGTACAACGGGACAGCCAGGTGAGAAAAACATACACACAGACACATCTTGAGAAATGTTCTCATTAATGTCTAACATGGAGGTACATCATCCTGCTCACCAGGTCTCACTGGAGAGAGAGGAACTGAAGGAGACCCGGGTCCTCCAGGTCCAATAGGCTTGAAAGGGACCCCAGGTTCATATGGTGATCTTGGCGCCTCTGGAGAGTACGGCTCACCTGGTGACCCAGGACGGACAGGTGCAGGTGGACGTCCAGGACTTCCAGGAATGAAAGGTTTGTTCCTCTGATAATTTACTGCCAATATAACACAGAGTATAATCAAGCATCAAATAATGTATATAATGGGACTTTTTCCTTTTCAGGATACAAAGGGTCTTCTGGCATGTCAGGTTTTGAGGGAGTCAGGGGTGACCTAGGCGTGCGGGGCTTTGGCGGAGTGAAGGGAGAAACTGGAGTGCCAGGACAAGTTGGCCCAAAAGGACTGACAGGCCCAAGTGGAGAGAAAGGTGAGACTGCCCACAGAAGACCATTATTGTCACTGCTGTGTTAAGTCATACTTTCCACATTGATGACATGTGTGATATAGCAGCTGCTTACAGATTGAGCTGTGGCACCTTGTTAGAGAATATTACTGAGGTGTGTCGAGCACAGTAGACAGGACTTCCCACTGTGTCCGGGTCCATCCATAGGAAGCATGCACAAATCAAACCACCTCCAAGTTGATGTCTAAGTGGATGGATGTGGTTACTCTTGTACATTTTCTCCTTGTACAACACATTTTTTTAAAGCACCACTTGTTAGCAGTTGGCGTGCATGTAGTGGAGACCCTCGCATTTGAGTGTTTGATGAATTTAGGTCACGTGCACCCTTGTGGACATGGAAAGCACAAAATGACATTAACTCATTCTCTCCCTTGTTGACATGGTCTGCCAGGTGATCGTGGTCTGAGAGGGCCAGCAGGAGAACCGCCTCACATTAATATTCAGATGATTGTCACCATGAAGGGAGCCAAGGGAGACAACGGCAGTGATGGAAATCAAGGTTTTACTGGGCCAAGAGGTGGGAAGCTCCATTCTAATATCAGTCACACTTTTCCTTCTTACCTCCTCTATCTTCTCGCCCCTCACATTGTCGTGTCTTACTGTTTTCCGCAGGTTCTAAAGGTTTCCCCGGTGTGCCAGGCGCTGGGGGAAGTCACGGTCTTCCTGGAGAACCGAGTCATGAGAAAGGTTATTTTGGCGATCCAGGTGCACAGGGGTTACCAGGAATCAAAGGAATGCCAGGAATAACTGGGAATCGAGGAATTACAGGTTTTGACGGATTTCATGGCCATAAGGTGAGCAGAGCCATATTAGGAAAACTCATGTGATTAAGTCGACTCCCACACGAACTATTAGGCCTTAAGGAGATGCTCTGCCTATTTAGTAAGCTTTTGAAAATGTTTATTATGTCCTATGTAGCTCTGAGCTCTGGAGGGAGCTGTCAGTAAGTAAATAACCCTGAAGAGGTCATGAGTGTTTTCTCTACTTGGGTTTGATTCTGAACATGATTTCGCTCATTGTTTTGTTTTTTCCGCCCACAACCACTACTGCTCTTATCTGTGTTTCCACTCTCAGCAAGCAGCTGTTTTTAGTTTTAAATAGCTGCTGGACTGTTCCTGCTCAGCACCAAAAAGCAACCAGAAACAATCAGAGGTAGAACATAGTGAACATATCAGGGCATTTAGCAGCTAAAAAAGCTAGATTGTTCCCTGAGACGAGCAAAACTGAACTGAAATGAGAGCAAAAGTTCACAATGTAAACCTAAAAGTCAATGATATGTAATGTTTTTAACTAACTACCGCACATCAGGTATTCAAAAATCAACTTTTTTTTTTTTAAAAAGCCAACATTACAAATTTGTTTTTTAAAAAGTGGGTGTTTAACCGTTTAAACCATCAAACCTACTGGTGGGTTTGAAAGGCATGTTGTCTTTAAAAACATGAAAATCGTAAAAATTGCATGATTTATCGGAGCAAGAACCTGCAACAACAGAAAGAATAGTCAGATTTCTGACCTTCCGATGATCCTTGAACTACTCATCTGTGACATGTCATTTTATGTTACCAGATCTAGGCTTAAAATCATGATATTTCACAAAAATCACTTTATTCTACATTATATTTTTTACTATAATTTAAAATTTGCCAAAAAGAAATACACCAACCAGCTCCAACCTGCATTCTAACAAAAAAAAAAACATTTGTGACTTAGCTGTATCACAAGACTAAAAATCCGGTACCTTAGATTTTTCCTTTTTTCGTGGTTTTAAACATCTTTAAGCTCTGTCTACTTCTCGTTGTGGTTGTTGTGCTATCTATAGAGGTGTAGGGCTTTATATTGCAGTTAAAAATTATCAAAAATGTGACAGATGTATAAAATGCCCCGAGTCTGTTTGGGGTTCAGAAGGTTATATAGCAGTGACGGTGTAATAAAGACACTGTTTGTTTGCAAAAATTTAAAATGGGTTTAGAGTGATCCAAGTAAAAGTCAGGGTATCCCAACCTCCTCAGTTTTACCTTATCCCTTTTGTTTGGGTCAAACTAATGAACAGCATCGTGCTTATTTGGTAGAGTTTTGATTTAAGTATGCTTATTTAGATTACATGACAGTTTTGCTTTTGCTTTTCTGTGGCTTTGTACGTATGTGAGAGACCAGGTCACAAGATCACAAGACCTCACAATAAAGTGACATATTCTAAAATTTGTTGTGTTACTTTTTCAGGGAGGTAAAGGAAGTCCTGGTGCCTATGGTGCATCAGGGGACAAAGGAAAGAAGGGATTAAAAGGTACAACCTCAAATTTAAACTTCAGACAGACTAGGATCCAGGTACCAGTTTTAAAGCGATTGTGATAAAAAATATTTGGTCACTAATTAATAAGCTAAATATTACAGGTGACAAAGGTCTTCAAATAGACCTTGCAGGATCTCCTGGACATAGAGGAGAAGTTGGACTTCCAGGAGACCCAGGTACAAACTGTAGCTCATATGGTTATTTTTTTTCCCCTCTCTGGTTCTCTTCAGCACCAGCCAATGGGAATTTTCTGATATTAAAGGTTTTATATTCATCTTACAGGCCAGAAAGGATTATTTGGATCAACTGGTGACAGGGGCATATCTGGTTTTGATGGTATCGAAGGGAAAAGGGGAGAATCAGGTGAAGAGGGAGCAGTGGGATTTCCAGGTAAAACACTCCCATTCACTTCCTAATCACACGCTGTCCAGTTGACCTATGTCATTTTAAATCTCCTATATTGTAGCAGAGGTACATTGCATTTACATGTATTATTATATATGTCATAGGCTTAGATGGGCAGAAGGGCCTTCCTGGTAACCAAGGTCAAAAAGGCTTTCCTGGGACTCCTGGAAGAGAAGGACACCCCGGCTTTCCTGGCTTCCAAGGAATCAAAGGTAACAAGACCTACATGATACTTTTCTATGATATTTCTTTTATTTCTGTCATATTTCATCTAAGCTATATAATTGTGTGCAGGTTATCCTGGTCTGGAGGGCCTTTATGGATTACACGGACTCAAAGGACAAAAGGGTGTCCCCGGAACACCAGGTATGCGACCAGATTTTAAGAGCTCATAAATAAACTGTTAGATTATAGCATGCTACAATATATCGGCATTAATAGCCCATTAATACTTTAAATAGAAATTAGGTTCTAAAAACATATTTTTGCAGTCTACGACCTTTTTCTATGTGCTTTTCTCATCTAAGATATAAAAATGTAGCATCATGTATAGCATTGCTTCAGACAGGACATTTGAAATTGAGTCAGTTGGGAGGTTTCTTTGGTCACTGCTCATTACATCTGGTCAGTAACACCAACATAGCTTTGATGCAACAGAGTAGCTGAGTTTTTGAGTGCTAAATTCTAAAAATAAATAAATAAATCTAAATGCAGCTCATTTCTTCTTCTTTTTTACTTTCACTGTAACTTATTTAATCATACATATTTCACCTTATTGGAAACAGTTGAGCTATGACATATTGCTATGTTTTCAGGAACTTTTACCGCAGTGAGTGCATTCAGACAAAATGGACCTCAGTAAGATAGTGTTTACTTGTCATGTTTGCATCAGGTCTGGACACCGTTGGACCACCTGGAGAGCCGGGAGTTAAAGGACAGAAGGGAGAGACCGGTGACCCCAACAGCCAACCGGGTGTTCTGGGCACAGAGGGTTTGAAAGGCTTTCAGGGGCCTCTAGGTTAGCCGCTACCCTTATGTACTAATAAGTGGACTAGAGAACAGCTATCTGGTGGACTCTCAATGAAAGAACAAATACAGCACAACAACAAATAATGTTCTTAAAGCTTGAAACAATCCCATGTTTAATGTGCACAGGTGACCCTGGTTACCAAGGACCACCAGGGTTCCGTGGCCCTAGTGGACCAGATGGAACCCCGGACAAGCCAGGATCCAGTGGAGAGCTTGGCTTTCCTGGGCCTGCAGGATACCAAGGTGAGAAGATTCAGTTTAGCAAAAATAAACCGCTGTTGTAGGAAGCAGTGAAGCAGCAATATCCAGTATATGTTGGTACTTTGTCCAGTATAAATATATTTATTAACCCTAAATGGTTTGTTTCTCAGGTTTCCCTGGCACCAGAGGATATCCTGGTTTAGATGCTCCCCCAGGAGAAAAGGGTATACCGGGAATAAATGGCTTTCCTGGATTCCCGGGTAGGAAAGGATTCAAAGGAGATCAGGGTTCATTTGGATACAGGGGGCCTGACGGTGTTTCTGGGAAGAAAGGTATGGAATAACTATTTGATGTTCGACAGCAGCTTGTGTACCATGGTACCAGAGTAAAATGTTTCCAAAATCAAGTCTTATGATTCACCATTTACTGTAAAAAAGACCTGACGTTTCAGTAAGAAAGTGCCAGTGTTAATACACATTCTACACTAGATGTTGCGGTTACTCTGTTAACAGGACACATTTTTTGACAGTTTCACAATGTGAACAAATTGCCTTCATTCCCACTTCTACAGATTTCACTCATGTCAAGTACCGATAAAAGACTTGGTGGGAACCAATAATTATGTCAAGGCCCATAAAATCACGTTCATTCATCGTATGCTCACCTGCTGCCATATGATCGAATTCTTAATTTGATTTTTTTCTTACAGGAGTGAAAGGAGAGCAAGGATTGATGGGAGTTCCTGGCATTATGGGTTTAAATGGAGAAAGAGGACCAGTAGGTCCGAAAGGAAACACAGGACTCCCAGGTTAAACATGCGCTCATAATAAATCACCCATTAGTACTATATGTGTGCTTTTTTTAGTTTTGTCTTTGCTGTTAAACACTCCGTCCGTGTTGCAGGTGTTCGTGGGCAACAAGGCAGGCAAGGTCCTTTTCCAATTCCCCCCAGAATTCCAGGAGAGAGGGGACCTCCTGGGCCTCAGGGCATCCAAGGACCAAAGGGGGTTAGAGGTGAAACAGGGCCACAAGGTCTCCCTGGGGATGGAGGTCAGTTACTCTAGTCAAGCCATTTGCTGTTGAAAATACCCACACAAAATGTTCAGCCTAGTGACCCATGTATCCTATTACTGTACAGGCTTCATGGGACCCATTGGGCATAAAGGCATGCCTGGGATTAGTGGTATACCAGGAACGCCTGGATTCCGCGGAGAGCTGGGACAAATGGGCCACCCTGGTCTGCAAGGCATGGAAGGTGTGTCTGACACTGTGGGGCAGTTTGGGATTAGGTTAATAAGCCTGGATTAAAAGATTTAGACTAGGTGGAGATTTAAGTAGGGAACCAGTTACAAAGACGTTTCTGATTGTTATTTTTTGTGAAAGTTCATGCAGTGAATGAACCACTAAGTACTGAAGTGGAAATTATTAGCAGAGATCGATGAGAAAGCTAAATTAGTGTTATGGAATTATAGTAGCAGGGGGCGGAGGGGTTAGCAGGGTTTTGAAAATATTAGGCCGCATGCATATAATACACAGTGTATCAATTATGTACAGTATATGAATGTATTGTATAACCAGTAATTGGTTCACTAGACAGTTGAATGAAGTCCTCATTCCTCAATAGGTCGCCGTGGCAACCCCGGTATCCCTGGGTTACCTGGTATGCCTGGCCGCAGTGTCAGCGTGGGATACTTGCTTGTGAAGCACAGTCAGTCAGACCAGACGCCCATGTGTCCTGTGGGTATGTCCAAACTGTGGGACGGCTACAGCCTGCTGTACCTCGAGGGCCAGGAAAAGGCCCACAACCAGGATCTTGGTAAGTCAGAGGTGAACAGTAAATCAAGTAGAGTTTTATTACAGGGGTTTTACTGATACTTTAGACTGGAAGAATAGTGTTATTGAAGGTATTTAGAAGATAGGTTATTCCAGCACTTTGGTAAACTCACAGTTGTGTGGATTTAAGCTGCCTCAGTGTCTTCTGTTGCTTTGTGTAATCCCAGTCTGACTCCATGATGTTGAGATCACGTTTCTGTAGGAGCCATACCATCTGTTGTAGGGCTCCTTCCTGCTGAAGACAGTTTTTTATGACTCTGACTGTATGTTTAAGGTCATTACCATTTACTTGCACAGTGCTGTATGTCAGTGTGTCAGTTTGTCTCACAGTCCTGTCATAATGCTTTCACTGGTCACTGACATTTTGATGGAGTAGACAGAAACTGTTTGATCTCGTCACCAGTCAGTGTTCTTTCAGAAAAAGTGAAAGACAAGTCGCCCAAGTACTACAGACCTCAGTGACTGTTGAAAAGAACACGCTTGTTTTTCATTAAACTATCTCTCATCAGTCCTTTCTTGTGCAGTCAGTGTTAGCAGTGTCTTCAGTTGGGATACAATCCTTGGCACTTCTTGCTCTTCCATCCTCATTGTCTAATTCGGTTGTGCATGCCAGCTGAAACCTGCTTTTAACTTTGCCTTTCCATCAAGTTATGAGATTCTGTCCCTAAGTAAATTCAGTGTGTCAGAGACAGAACAGACAATTCCTTTTGAACATTTGCCAAAACTTTGATAGAAATCTATCTAATCATATTAGAAATTCTAAAACCATCATCCCCACTCATTCTGAATCCTGCTTTAGACACAGTTTGAACAATAAAACTACACAGACTGGAGTAATCCAACTCTATCTGTAAACAAGAAACACACACACACAAAATTACCACCAGAAGAAATATTAGCTTCAACTCTGACCAACGAGACGATGTAACCTTTGAACATTGAAATACCACGTTCATCCTTCTACAGCAGGGGTGGGCAATCCTGGTCCTCGAGGGCCACA